AGCTTTAGCTTAGCTATGATTTTAGAGGAGACTAAAGTCAACTCTGATCCAGGATCAATGAGAAGACGTACTAATTTAGGCGATCCATTTGAAGAAATGGCWAAGGCTTTACAAGTAGCTAAGAGTACAGGAGCTCTAGAACACGTTGAAAACGATGGATTAGACGACTGATCGATGTCTGAGATAGGCGACGAGAATCTGACTCGTTTGGTCGTCTGAGAAGACCTTGAGGAAGATGAGATAGTCGATTTTAAGATGGATCTGAGAGGACAGTGTGGGTAATGAGATGTCCTACCTACTCCTCATTCTGAGGACGCCTTTTTTGAAAAGTTCTGAGCAGAACTCTTCTTGGTAGGTGTGGACTTAGAAGGAGATGATCGAGATGAGGATGACTTGTGAGGGGAGTCGGGAACAGGAGCCTTCGGTTTGGAGAGAGGTCTGGGAGTTGGCGTACCGGAGGTGGATGATGATGACTTCGGACTAGAGGATCGGCGTGGAAATGACTTCTTTGGTGATATACGACGATCCTCTCTCGGTGACTCATCCGATGATACCCGTGAGCCCTGCGAGGACGAGACTCTCTGAGATGTCTGTGTTGTCTCTGAGAGAGAGCTTGAAGTCCTTGATATGGGCAGCGAGGATCTTGATGTAGAAGGAGATGTTCTAGACGATGAAGGAGAAGATGTCCTTGACGATGTCATCCTTTTCTCGGGATGTATGAGCGTGTGGTGCCGATCTCCACACTGGTTGCATCGCCTATTACTCYTGCATTGCCTAACGTTATGCCTGCCTAAGCAGTTATAACACAGGCGAGATTCTGCTATGACCTTCTCCTTCTTCTGTGGATTTAGGCTCTTAAATAGAGAACAGAAGGCGATGTAGTGCTAATGACTACAATAGCTACAAGTATTCGAGAGGTCGGTGATAAATGGCGTAGGATGTTTCATTATTGGCCTTTTATCCATCGCTAACTGAGATGATCCGGGAGACTGAGATGTCGTTGTAGGCGTAGTTGCCTTCGCCTTTACGTTCAAGGCCCTTGCATAGGACATTGTGGGGGGAGATGTAGGCCGTTCGGATGTCCTCCTGACTCCCTCGTAAGACCTACGAGTTTCGATATGTTCTAGCGCTCTTGCGGTGCTGGTGAGATGACTCATTAGTCTCTCTAGCGGTGGGAATTCGCTTGATGATCCTAGTCTTGTTTCCCAGTCCTCGCGAGTTATGTCATCTAATGTTAATCCCACCTGATGGACTAGGATGTGATCCCATTGATCAACCGGGCATCCTTATGTCTCTAGAGCACTTAGAGATGACGTCACGAGATGGATGATCTCGTTGAGAGATCCCAATGACCTATCCTTAATGCGAGAAAGGGCTATTAGCCTATCGAGATGAGCTATTATCAATAGGCGCTTGTTGTCGAACCTGGCCGACAACCGATTCCATGTGATCGCGAAGGAATCTGCAGATAGTTTCTTGTTGGCCACCACCTTGGCTGCCTCTCCCTCTAGGCTGGTCCTTAAGTAATGCATTTTCTCAACCTGTTAGAGGTCCGGGTTGTCTTTAACCATAGGGGAAAATAATTCCTTGAAAGGCCTCCATTCTGAGCAGGCCCCAGAAAACTTGGGCAACGAGATATTTGGCAGTACCGACCGCTGACGAGATTGCGGCTGAGGCATTGCTTGCGATGCCTGCTGTGAGAGCTCCTCTATGCGTTGATTTAGCAGCATAATTCTGGCTAAATATATTTGCATAGTAGCGTCATAGCTTTTGTTCTTAAGATACGGCTGCTTATTGCCGTTTCACGAGACGATGACACTATTCGGTCTTGTTCAGCATCGAATTTTGTCCACGTCGTTCGGAGTAGTTCCCTAGTCTCCACCGCGGTGGAGAGGTCTATAGTAAGGACGCCTTTTGCATTGTCTGTCAGGCTTGCTATCGTGCCAGCTCGCGCCTCCTGCAGTATTAGTTTCGTAGCCATGTTGTGATAGGATATGATGCTCTGTTGCTGGTCGAGACGATTATGCAGCAGTGGTACTGTCCCTACTACTCTCGAGATGAGATGACTTACGCTTCGCTCTCCGTGAGTGGGGAGATGACGAAGATTCCCGAGTGCTAGATGCCCGCACCACCTAGATTCCTCCTAGCGAACTAGAGGCGTTAGAATTAACCGAGCACTCGACGCGGCACTATCACCCTCGGCTTTGAGAAGCCTATGATATAACGATATGTCTTGTTACATTCACAATTA